TGTGTGCCTTGTTTGCTCCAGCCATGGGCTAGAGAAGTAACACCACTAGAGAAGTAACTCCAGCCATGGGCTAGAGAAGCAACATCTGAGAGGCTTGGGACCTGTGGAGGGGAGGTTGGAGCGGGTGTTAGGCCCTTGCAAGCAGGGCAAGTAATGGGGAGCCTCCCAACTTAGTAAGAACGCTCATGTTTTTCCATCAAGGTGTAGCAAGCGAGCAAAGTGGTTGCCTGAGGAGCAGGGTGTCCAGCGGAGACCTGACCAGGAGGCCACCCTGTTACTCTCACTAACAATGATGACAGTTGGAAAGCAAAGCTCCTGGTTTGGAATTAAAGCTCAAAATTTCTCTACCCCTGCTTGAAGCCCAGAACCTGACACCCTCCCTCTCCCCAGCACTCCCAGACCTGCCATGTTGGCTTCCCTCAAGGCCTGTGTGGGCTGCACAGACACTGGGCTCTTCTCCAGTTGGAGATAAGCGGACACAATGTGCATTAGAGTGTCTGATGCTGGTGTCCTGGCATGGGATATGAGGGCAGTTGTGAGGACATGAACTCTTGGAATGATGAACTGGAACCCTCTCTGTAGGCAAAAGTGTAGTTGAGCCTAGATGTCCAAATTTTCAGCACAGGGATTGATACAGTATATGTCACACAAGGAAAAGGGATTTGCATTTCCAGGTCTCCACTTTGCAAATCCCAGTCTTCAGTGACTGGAGATGGTGAGCTCCTCAGTGTTGTTCCTTGTTTCTGTGAAAAGTCAATCTGTTTTAAATGTGGAAATGTGCTGCCACCCTATGGCTGTGCATGTCTGTTTTTTTTTTTTTTTTTTTTTTTTCATTCTAGAGGAGGGGTGGGAAGAAAGAGAGAAACAGGTGAACTTAGAAAAATCACCCTGTCTTATTTATTGATTTATTTTAAGGACACTTGTCTTATTGTGTTTCAGGGATTTCAACATTAAACCATCGATCTGTTCATCTGCCATCTCCATATGCCTGTATCTCCTGATTTGTGCCTCTCTCTATCCTACTACAGTGTCTTCAGTCCCCTTCTGTTTTCCAGTTAAAATTCCAGATGCAATCCCCTTAGCAAATCAAATCCAGGTGCTTCCTCAGTGCCTGGGGGGTGGGGCGCTCAGACTCTCATCATACGGTCTGTTTTCCTGACCTCTGATCATGCACATGGCTCTCCTCTGCACTCTCTCAAGCTTCTCCACATTGTTTTTGAATTGTGGAGCCCAAAATTGGATGCAGTACTGCATCTGCAGCCTCACCAAGGCTAAGTACAACAGGAGGATAACATCCTGGGATTTGCTTGAGAAGCATCTATGGATGCAAGCCAGCGTTTTGCTCACTTTACTAGCCACAGCTTCACATTGAAGGCTCATGTTCATCTTGTGGTCAGTCATGACCCCCAAGTCCTTTTCATCTGTAGGTCACATTTTGCTTCCAAGTTGGAGGCTGAGCTCCCTGCTCTACGCTTATCTCTGCCTGTGCGGGTCTGCTGAGTGCCTGTTCTGTGGTGCCTGTGTGTGCTGCCTGCAAGGATCCTGTGTGCCCATCTACATCCCAGCATGTGGATGTGCACTTTTATGGTGTGTGGGATAGGAGAAGGGCTGAGGCTGTGTCAGGGATACACCTTGCTGAGCTCTGGTCACTCCCATGCAGCCTGTAGCCCTTCTTCCTGCAGCAATGAAGGCTGCAGGGATCACACGGTATTCATATATCGCTACCCTTTACTCCCCAGAAATGTTTTATAATAACTCTGTAATGGGAAGACTTTTGTGTAAGACTGTCTACAATATCAGATCATTACAATTCCTGTGCACCAAGGACAAGCAGTACAGTACAACTCTCAAATGCAAGACCAAGATGCATTTCTGCCCCCAGGGGAGGGGGCACTGCTATTTTCACAAGAAAAGGAAGAAGGATTCAGTGCCTTCTTTGCTTGTGAACTTCCTTTATTATTAACTTTTGATCTAGAAGTTGGTGGATCTGCTCCTGTCCTCCTCACTAGGCCTCAAAGGACTGGGAGTGGACACTGGCAGCAACATCCATTAATTCCTGTAGAGATTAGAAACAAGGAGTGTATCACCCTGCTTGCTCAAAAGCCTGTGGAGAGGAGACAGAGGAAGTCTAAAGGTTTTGGTGTTGGAAGGAACCTGCCTGCTCCTGTCCCTGTGACCTTGAGATCCACAGAAGTACAGAAGCAGCACAAAGGAGCTGAAAGAAAATATGCTTCTTTATTGAAAGGTAAGAGTTTAAATTTATCTGAATTCAGTATATTAAATTATATTTTAGCTGCATTAGTATTTTTTTCATAACCTATGTAGTTCATAATTGAATTCCTACTAATCTGATGTTATGTGACAAAT